TGGAAATTGCCACTCAGATGGACGAGATGGGGGCCCCAATTTTCAAGAATTTTGGATTTTTGATCAAGCAGCATGATTATAATTCGTAAGATTAATAGGCGGTAAATTTAGCAAAACGAATATGGATGTAGCCAGAATTTTGAATTTCCTGAGTGCCTGGAAAAAAGTTGATGAGTTGCTGACAGATGAGCGCGTGACACATCGTGAAAGAGCGGAGCCGGATATCCATCACTTATTCATCACCCACTGCTATTATATTTCATCCCAATCCCTCTAAAAAACAAGTCAGGCAAATTTTTAGTTTACGAAATGTAAAGCACTTTCTATTGTTTCGTGCTCTTTCAGAGAAAATTTGAGTGCATAGGCCGAATAAATTATTAACAAACCAGTCCCGGGTAAACTAAGCTGTCTGTAATCTGAGGACTGAAATGCTCTGAATGTTAAATGAGTTGTGAATTCATTAGCGAAAAATGAGATTTTTTATTCCTATTATTGTCGTTGCCCTGAGACATTGAGTCTTGTGATTAGCATTGTTTCATTAGCATGTGCAAAAGCATCCCAATAAGTTTGCTAACATCGGATATGAGCAGCAGTTGTTCAAGTAATCTTAAGAACTAAACACAAGTGGAAATTGGAATTTTTTCTGAAATATTCGAAATTCCTTCGGCATTTCAGCAAGACAGAAAAAAAAGATAAAGCTGACAGATCAACATTTGTCCCAACAGTAAGCAGAAGAAGGCTGTACTGATGATTTTCACTCCTACTCGCATCCGATGTTCTTTCTCTGTTTACAGCCAAGGGGTGAAACACAGACTGCAGACTTCCCTGTGCATTAGAATACATAATTTTTCAACAATATTACAAAATATATTTTTCCGCCCAGAATGAGGGACATCCGCTCAGGCTCTATCCAAGCTGTGAATAATTATTAGGATAAACAGACTTTCCATAATTCACACTGCTAGTAACTTATTTCGGTGTTTAAGTATAGCAGTCCTAATTCTCCATCAAAATGAGTCCTAAAAGAATTATTTTGGACTACGCTTTGGATAAGATTGAAGTATATGTTGTTTATTAATTGCACCCATGAAAGCATCGTAAAAACATTGTTAACCCGGGATGTCCATACTGATAACCCCGACAGTCTTGGCATTTTTGATGTTAAGTCTAATCTGATAGGATTTAATGTAACAGCTATTAGGCACTGTAAATTTAAAATATTTGATTTTGTGACTTGTTGCAGAACATTGTAGAAAATGCCGAACGCGCAGCTCGATCACAATTGTACAGCCGCGAATACAATCTGGTAATTGGGTTTTCTTACTATTGTAGATCTTGTGAACTAACGGTTTTTAAGTAGCAAGAGTTGAAGCTTTTTTTTTTTATTTTTTGTGCACTACCGCGATTGAGCGCAGTTACTTCCAGTTTATTAACTTTTCTACGTTTTGTATTGCTTCAACTTTCTATTCCTGTAGCATTCACCTTGTCTTCCGGTTTTAATTAGTAACGTATATGTATATATATATTTGTATATATACATATAAGTATATGTATGTCACCCGTCTTCCACCATGGTTATCACCCGATTTTTCCTCTAACAGGCTGCTAGTGCAAGGCGAGGGCGAGCCAACAAGTCCTTCAGCTACAGTATAATCCTCTGGAAATTTTACGGAAAAATGGTAAAGCTTGAGAATGGCTTTTAACATTGGTCCAAAGGTTTTCTGTTAGAAAGTATGCGGTATTCAAACACTTTGCTGCATTTATAGTTAAAAATCAAATTCGTTTCAAATGTCATTATTTCATGAGAAAACAACATTCGGCAGTATCCCACGTACTAGAAGCAATCGTTTTCTGACTCGGCTTCCTTTCGAGCTTTATCCATATCGAAAAAAAAAACGCCGTCGAAAAAAAAATACTAAAAAAGTCATTTTTTTCTAGGATGATGCAAGTTGTAGTGAAGTAATAGATCGAATGAACGAGGTGGATCTGAAGATGTACAGCGGCGCGCAAACGACACAAAACCGATCCGGCATTCATGTCACTGTGGAAGCCTACAGATGCGGTATGAAGATTGTTTTCAGTTTCCGATGATTCTGCACACTTGATTTAGACTGAATTTACATATTTCAAATTAGGGGTTTGCAAGGGCCTCAAGCATCAAGCCGAAGCAGTTTCTCTTAAATTAAGAAGTATTAATGCAGGTTTTTGTCTATTTATGCGATTGAACAGACTTATGAATCAAGAAGTCTTAGGGTCTAAAATCAAAAAAAAAAAAAAAAACAGATTTAGTTATTTCCTGGTTTCCTTGCAACCCTATGTGCAAAATCAGGCGATAAATGTAACTTAATGGATTGAAGCATTTCCGTTTAGATTTATCATTCTTATTTCAATTTTTTTTTCTGAACTGTTAAATACACCAAATTCTCTTAATCATAATCTGAACGGAAAAAAG